TACGCGCGTATGCGTATACGTGGGAAATTTTACGCGCGTAAGCGTATACGCTACGCGCGGAGCACTAGACTGTGGAAAGTTCCTGTATTCTTAACCAGTTTGAAAGGACTTAGTGATTGGGAAGTAAAGCTCCAACGTCCTCACCGGTACTCTGCCCAATTACTCCCCAATCGTCGCTACGCTTAGATATAATTTCCCGACGACTTTAGCGAACGCTCAGGCTCGCTATTACATTTTTTCATTTACACTAAAGTCGCTGTCTCTTCGTTTGTGGTAGCGGAAGACTGGATTTTCTCACTCCACTTCGTCCTCCTCGGATAAGTCGGCATGTCTATAATCCCCAGTAAGGCTATTAGCACCTTTTGTGTTGTGGCGAACTGCTAATAACGTGAGAAGCCGTATAGTCGGGAATGAGGAGTTTGCAGTCATTGGGCGAAGTGGGAGTGCAAGACCACTTTCGAAACTTCTGCCTCTTAATTTACACGCTCAATATTCTCTGTTCATTGTGTCATGAAGCCAATCCTGATTATACATGGACTCGTTTCTCCGTTTCTGAAATTTGTGCTGATTTCATTCAAAGGACGAAACCAGCTCGGGAATCTCTTGAAGACTATGAACGATCTTCATAGCCTCGAATTCGCTCGAACTATGGATAGGAAGAATGCCGTCTGCCCATCCTTTACCGGCTCTATCGACCCAAATGGCTCGCATACCTTGCGCTATTGCTCCAGTGACGTCAAATGGATTGCTTTGCACCGGGTGTTCACAATCCTACAATGTCAAAATGAGGGAAATTTGACGCACCCACTTACTAAGCAACATTCCTTCGGGTGCCCTTCCTTACCCACGGACTGCAGAAGTCCACGATATATTTCAGGAGTGGGTTTGTAACGTCCGACAGCATCGGCAACGTAAATGTTCGGCGTCATGTTTGTGAGACCTGCAGCAGAGAGGGCCGTCTGAACCATCTGAAGTCAAACCCATTAGCTTGCACCAGATGCAGGATAAGGAGACTCGAACCGACTGAGTCCCTGTTACGACATTGCAACGCTCATGGATAAGTGAATATCTATGCACAGTAGATATAATTTCTGTTTACCATTGCTAAATACTACGATCTTCGCCTTTCCATTGCTTGTCAATTCCCGTAGAGCATGTTCGGCGTCGGGGAAGCTTTGCACTCATGCATTTATTATCTGAGTTCCGGGTGAGCAGTAACTAGGACTGACCATGGAAGAACATTGTAAGCATCCATTAATCTCCTTATAGAGTCGTCGTCAAATCTTATTCCTGATTCTTTAAGAGCATGTTGAAGTGCTTTCTTGGTTACGATGTCGAAGGGTTTGTAGACATCTACGATTAAGACATCCCCGTCAATACGAGTACGCCGGGTTCTGCTCTAGCTGTATCACTCATTGAATTGAGTCTCCAAGTATATCTATAAGACCCCTTTAGGACTAGAAGACACCAGGGTTGACAACAGCGACCTACTCAAGCTGGTATCTACGCCACAGCGCACTAACTTGAGCGGTATTGTCTTTGTCCAGCTGAAGGTGTTCCATAAGAGCTTTGGATATGCTACTGGTATCTAGTAGAGTCCCATATATGTCAAAGGCGAGGACGTATTTTGCCATGTTGTGAGAGTTGCTGGCAGGAAATAAAAAAATATCTAAGAAATGAAACTAGCGCGAGTCGAATGCCCGACGCGCGACGGTCACGTGGGATAAATGATTACGTACGTCAGCGCGCCTTGTTGAATCTGCTGAGCACAACCACCCAACTGCTGCACCTTCTTGCCCTCTTCCACCACTTTGCCCATCCCTTCCCCATTTGCACATCGTCTCTGACGGACGACGGCTGACGTACACTCATCTTTCTTTGTAAAGTCGATATTGGCTGTTCGTGATGACTTCTAAGAAACCTGCTTCAACTGCTGGTCCAACCACAACAGATGCTCCTGCGCCCGGGGCTCAACCTGCTGGGACTCCCGCCATTAATGGCGAGGGCGCTGCCCCGGCCGATAATTCTGCTACTGCGGAGGCACCTAGTGCTCCAAAGAAGAGAGGCCGTAAACCCGGCTCAAAGAAGGCTGCTGCAGCACAGACTCCCACAGCTGGACGTCGCTCTCAGCGCCTTGCTGAGAAGCCACAACCCGAGAAGAAGCCCGCCCCTACGAGGGGAAGGAAGAGGAAGGCTGCTGAGCCTAGTGAAGATGCTAAGAAAGAGGACGCTGAGAAGGAGGGTGCCAAAGTAGATGCTGTCAAGGAGGGTGAGACAGCTAGCGAGGAGCCAGCCGCTAAGAAGGTCTGTTGTGTTTATCTGTTCCTATTACCGATGGTATTTGCTCATCCTTTCATTATAGGCTAAGCCCTCATCAAAAGTGTCAAATAAACCTGCTTCGACGAATGCTGCTAACAAACCTGCTTCTGTGGCCAAGGCATCCTCCTCCAAACCACCATCGAGGACTGCGAAACCATCCTCTAAGAAGCCCGCCTCTAAGGCGAGTCTAGTTTGTATCAAATGCAACTGATTCTCTGATAATTGTGTTTGATTTCGTCTTTTAGGTTGAAAATAAGGAAAATGGACCTGCACCTGCAGTCCAAGCGCAAGCGACTATCGCTGAAGAGCCCGAAGCCGAGGCTGCTGCTGCTGCCGTACGTCGCTGACTGATTCAAAGAATATTTGCCTAGACTCATCCCCCTTGCTTATTTTTAAGGCTTAAAAGCTCGGGAAAACAAGGTTCAAACTTGTAGTATCTTGTATAAGACTGCGCTATCTTCCCTTGACTTTCGCTTTCTTCATGGTTCTGACGTATCTTTCTCACCTCACCTTATGCGATCTGTTCTTTACCCGAGAGTTTTTTTTTCTACTCATCCGCTTTGTGTGTGTATAACGTCCCCCTTAGCACCTATGTTCTTCGTTACAGCTTCCACTCTCGTATGAATCCGACCATTCCGGTCAGGTCAATAGACTGTGACTCGGCAGTGGCTCAGAATGATATGTCCGAGCGCCATTGATTGTGCTTTGGCATATCAAACCTGAGTGTGGCTTGGTATCTTCATCCCTCCCCTTTAAATTCTCCCAACCCTCCATTTTTTCCCACTGTTACTACTTAACTACTGTGTATTGTCTGCTGCTTTCGTTCGGTTCGTACTAGCGACACCTCGACACTTCCTCTCTTATCCGCTATGCAGATCCTCACGGCATACACTTTATTGTTTGGTGGCATTATAATCGCTTGTATGGCTGCTTGTGTGTGTACGTACATGGCTCTTTGGGCTGGATATTGGTTATTTATTTTCCTTGAGCGAGAAATTACGTTTCGACAACTGGAACTGATGCTATGTCATCCTGCATGAGAGATAAGGTGAGACATTTTGTCAGTCAGTAAAGAATACTAATTAATGGTCACAATACTGATGCTTGTTGATAAATGCCTTTACCCTTGAGAAGTACAACTTGTGTGATAATCAAAACGGTTGGAATATATGTTGCAGTATATTAAGTACAAAAGGAATACCGATATCATGATACATATGGGCCGTTAGTGAAGGCAAGCAAGTTCGCTACGTTATTAAACATATCCGCACACTTCTTATCATCTATCTCCAGGAGGCCGATATAGTCTCTGCCCCCGTTCCCGTCATAGCACTCCGATTTGGGTCACTCTCCCATTGGATCTGTATGGGGAACCACGTCGGTCAGCAGTTTAACAAGACACAAGTCGAGACGCAAGAGAATTAATAGTAATAACGTACGCTGCCGTCCGTCTCCTTCCGGATAAACTTGTATTCGAAGCTCGTGCTTGCAGGTAGAGAGACCGTTACGGACCAGACAGGATATGTGTCTGCTGATAAGGCGATCTGGTATACCAAACACGATTCATCAGGCCATACATAGCAATTTAACTGTCCGTTGAGACGTGACGTACAGCATTGTCTGTGTCCCACGAAGCAAGCTCCGGTATGCTTCCAACTAAGAAAATATTCTGTGCAAGGAAAAATACATTCGTTGAAACGTTCTAGCAAATGGGACGGAAGATAATGTACCTCGCCAAAGGTTGTAGTAGCCGTTTCATCGAATGTGACTGCGACGGTGCTCGGAGTGCTTCCTCCGCCGTCACTACTTCCGGTCCCAAGAGCACCGATATGGATTGCAAGAGCGTTTCGTGCCGAGATAATCGGAGTGAAGGTACCGTCCGATGCCACGGTATACCTAGCGCGCAAATAACATTATTTACTCTGTGAACATCCAAAAAGCGACGAGTCAATACTTACGACGGTCCTGCACACACCGCGCCGTTTGGCACCCCAGCAACGACGTCACAATACGACCCTGCGGGTAATCCACTGTTAAACGTCATCGACCAGGCTGAGTCCTCGTTATTGATCGCTACAAAGCCTGCTGCGCCACGCGCGAATGCGATGCGCTGTGAGCTCGGAGAAACCCAGTTCGTGAGGGCGTTGGGTGATGCGACACTGATGTTGTTGCGGAAGCCGACCATGCCTGTGATAGCAGGCCATCGATGCTGACACAGCCTAGAAATAAAGGTAAATACTGGATGAGACAGAAGACGGGACTTGTTTGGGTACCATCCGTTGGCGCCTCCGTCAGTAGAACATGTCCCTGCACCTAAGGATGGCTTTTCGTCAGGACGACATCTCGCCTGTAAGCCAAAAAGTCGACGTACCGCCATTTGGTGCACCTGCGTCTGTGTTTGTAAACCCAGAATAGCTGGACAGAATGGTCGGCGTTCCATACGGATGTGCTCTACAAACACAGAGAAGTGAACACGGGAGTACATTAACGAATTGCGACTGTAACTTACAAAGAGAAGATCATCGCTAGTGTATACGTATTTGAGGGCGAATTGTCGTTGAGTGAATTGCCGTTCTATGGACAATCCAATGAGGGAAAGTGACGAAGGTAAAGAGATAACGTGCGTACTCGTTCAGTGTCATGATTCGTAACAAAAACGTTTGCATCGTCCCCGGGCACCCAACCTAAGCCGAATTCTAAGGGATTGTTCGCTACGTGTTGTTCAAGGACAAACCTTGATCATCGAGGTTCTGCAGACTTGCAATCCCATCACTCAGGAAAGCGTTCTTAAGAGCGGTGGTGTAGCGGAACCTAAGAACACAACATCGTTCAAAGTAGGGTGTCAACAGTGAAGGAATGCATACTCTTGTACATCGCCTTTAACAAATAGTGTCAGGTTAATAATCGACCGAGTTACGAGCACCGCACATACCAATTCCTACATATTCTGCTGGTGTAATAGGCTCTCCCTCACCATAGATGACCTGAAGACAGTGAGCGCTTTTAGCAATTGCAAATGCAACGTATAGCTTGGTTACCTCTTGAGTAAGGTATGCTGGGCGGTTCAACCGGCTGGTAATATTAGCAAGGTCCGTTGCCGCAATATCTGGACGTAAATCTCAGAACCAGTTATTCGTCATATAAAGAAGTAGGAAGTACGTTTAGCTGCATCAAGGCGCAAGCCATCCACTCCAAGAGACAGTAGATCATTCCCGTATTCGGCAAGACGTGAGCGGACGTACTCCGTCTCTGTCGCTAGGCTGTTCGATGATTAGGATATAAGACAAGCAGAAGGGAAGAAAAGATACTCACTCCGCGAGATTCACTAGTTCACACGTCTGAACCTCGACTCGATTGTCGTAATTGACAATGTCGTCTCCCGGTTCAAGCCCGCAGTGGTGGAAGTCTTGATACTCATAGATGCCGGGGTAGTCGTAGTGCGTAAATGCTGTAAGTATATATATAAACTGTCCGAATCGTAAAGGTAAAAATATCGGACTCACAACTCCCAGCGACGCCAACGTCTGGTAAATAGGACCAACGAACTCAGGTAACTGGTCTCTGTAGTGATATGTGCTATTGATCACATACCAGAATCTGATCCGGACATATGATTGAAAATGGTATCTAGGCATTCGTCTGATTAATAACGATCAACAAACAGGGTTGAAGACCACAGACCAGCAATTACCCTTACTCCCGAAGCATGGCAGGTATTGATCATATTTGTGTACTGGTCACGGTTACCACGCTTCGAAGTGAGGATGTATGAAACCGGTTGGTAATCGGTCCACCATTGATCTCCTGAACAGGGTCGTCAGAAGAGTCCTTTCCATGAAACTGGGGAAGAAATAACACTGACCTGTGACATGTTCTTGAGCTGGGCTAGCTTGTATAAAGCCATATCCTTCACGAAGTCAGCACATCTCTCTCGTATGAATAGCAAGAAGAACCTACCTGCAGGGCCGATGAAAGATGCACATTCAGCAGCAATGCTGTCCCACGTCCACTCAAACATCTGGATAATGACGTCTTTACGATATCAATAGATTTTCAATCGAAAAGAAGTGTGGAAAGGTACCATTAGTGCCAGATGGTGCTGCTGATGTGGTAGTGACGCAGGACACGCATATTGTCAATGGTAGTAATCCTTGGATAATTCGGAGAAGCATTAGGTATAAGAGCAATAGCGACAAGTATCTAGCGAATGTGGGCTGAGCGTCTGACCATAGGTCTGTTAGCCAGCCCAGTCCGAAATTTATAATCGTTTCCGACTCGTTCCCCACGGCATCTACGCCAGCGAGTGATGACGAGATCCTATTTGCATCTTTGCGAAACGGATAAACTGCGTCGCGGGGCCGAAGAAAGGCGACCATGCCACATGCTCTATAGGAATATGGCATCAATTTCCCAATCACATGGAACCTACAGTGCGAATTGACGAGAGTGGGGCAAACGATATTGGCACGTACGACTTTATCGGACTTCCCGACGAAGAACGTTTCAAAAGGATTCCCTGCTCCGTGGCACTGATCGATGAACCTTCTAGTTGATGTTTCTAAACGAATCCAATAACGTGCAAAATTTGAGAAAACAGACACGTCAGAACGACTCACCTGATATTTCAGGATCGCCCCTTTTCTGTTCCTGGTCGGAGACGGAACAAGGCACGTGGACATGCTGGCACATAAGTAGACGGCCATGAGGGCCTTTTCCTCCGTTGTGTCAGATTTTCTTTTATGCAGACAATCTAGATTCTAATTTGGGTCCACCACAAAATCCCAGAATCCTTTGCATTATGTGATGGAACGTGATTTGAATCAATGCAGAGTGATCCTTGGACGGGAATTGAAGCCCAGGGCACTAACGTTGGTACACGAATTGTACAACTTCTTCCGAGCATCCGGCCTCTCATTCCGAAGTGAATTATAGGTCTTTCATTCCTTGCCTAAATATCACGTTTCATGTCGAAAACAGTAAGGAGACAATGAGAAAAAGCGTCATTATCGGATCAGGATGGGCAGAACAACGTAGCCCAGAAACAGAGATAAATTTTCGACGCGCGAGTCCAATACAGCAAGAAATATTACAGCAGGGATCTTGGAAACATGTTCAAGGAAACTACAATTCGTACCAAAGTTGGTTTCGAGCCTGTGTGGTCGACTAGCCGAATAGCACGTGATCCTAACGTTCTGGGAGATTAAGCGAGTTATTTAAACGATTATGACTCTTGGCTTACATCACCAAAACGTGCAGAGTCTGACAAGGCAATATATTTACATGTAGACTTTATAAGTGAATATAAGGATCCACAATATGTAAAAAATATATGTCTTAGCAGTAAATTCCAATACATTTTCAATGGCGACGGTCGCTCGAACTATAGGTAGTGTTCTTGGTATGCCTTATTACGTATTGTGTTTCCATGGTCGAGTTACCACTGGGGGTTATGTTCCTGAATCCTGAGTGTACTTCACAAGCAGTCATCTCTATTATCCCCACTGTCATGACATATAGGCACAAATAGTGCAACGAACGGCGCCTTCCCAGAACAACAAACAATAACGCAATGCCAGTTGAGATAGAATTATAGAAACAACATGAAACCCATCGTCATTTCCTCCTGTTGTAGCCAAGTTGTTTACCTGTACGCGCTTATGCGGCCAGCCTCTTCGCTCTGTAATTTGCCTCGACTTCGGGGTCGGCAAATGCATAACCTACATAGCCCGCCGGACTACCAACGTCATAGAACGTTGCTCGGTTGTATGGCGTCAGCGAGATTCCTTTCTTTACCCTTGCCGGAAGGTCGGGCTACAAGTATATATTAATCAGTAGCCTTTCCTGATTGACATAATACTGGAGCTTGCAAAGGATCGATACCCACATTAGAAATATAAAACCTGCCAAAAGCAACCAGGTCGTCGTTCTCCTCCGAAACTCTGATTGCTTCCTGAGGAGAATAACCTCCTGCGACGATGAAAACAGAACCATTCTCTTCGCTGTTTGGTCCCTTCCAGATAGCACGGAGGAAGTCGAGCGACTCGCCTTTGAGCGGCGTGCGGTCGAATTGGCCTGATGCTCGTGGCTCGACGGCATGAAGGTACGCAAACCGCGGGTATGCTTCGCGGATACGGGATACAAGGTAAGCAAAGGTTGGTTCGGAATGCTCCATGTGCATGTCTTATGGAGAGCTTAGACTTGCAGAAACAGACAGCTTTAACTTGGCACTAGGCTCACCACGACGAGTCGCGAAAGGACTCAGACGGATACCAGTCCTCTCTTCCCCAACGGCGGAGGTGACGCTTTTGATGATTTCGAGGGCGAATCGAGTCCGATTTTCTATATTTCCACCCCACATATCACTACGTTTATTACACACGTCCTGCGTAAATTGATCGATGATGTATCCGTGTGCGCCGTGTATCTCAACACCGTCGAATCCAGCTCCATGAACAGCATTATGAGCTGCTTGTCCGAAGAGTTCAATATGCTGCAGTATCTCCTCATGCGATAGAGGGTTGGGTTTGATTCCGTCGTCGCGTTCGGACATCATAAGGTCCGACGATGAGACATATGGATATGGTCCACCAGGATTTTGTGGACAATCGGATTGTGAAAGGAATTTAGGTTCAGCCGTTCGCCCGAGAGACCAGAGCTGCAAGTAGATATACGATCCTTGCGCATGGACCGCAGAAACTACCTATATGCTTCGTAAGAACGTTGTGTCAGACCTGCACATAATTGATTCATTTCCACCTTCTTCCAACCTTGAACCTGCGCATCACTCCATATACCTGGGACATTCCCAATCCCACCTGCCCTAGCTGCAATGACAGTCCCTTCAGCTATCAAAAGTGTTCCAGGCACGCTTGCACGCTGTGTATAGTATTCCACCATGATGTCTGTTGGGACATGGGCATCGTCGGCGCGGAATCTCGTGAGAGGAGCAAAGACGATCCTGTGAGCAAGGTTCAGGTGTCCAACGCGAATGGGTTGAAAGAGTTTGGCATCCGACTGAGGCATTTTGAACTATGATGCTATAGATGGAGAGGACGCCGACAACGCCTCCGACGCGACTACGTCCTAGGAGCAGTCTTACTCATACAGCAGAAACTTCCCGGCACCTGGCGGTGGGATTTGACGTTGATAGCGGGCGAGATAGATATAGATATGCGGTCTATTTTTGAGTGAGAACGATTCATTTACGCTAGAGGTGAACTACGAATGAATAGGGACCTTTGCATCGTAAGGTGCCACCACGCCAGATGACACGGTTACCAATGTATTCTCTGCGGAGAATACTATGATTATTAGAGTTGGAAGCAAAAGAGGGTCCTTAAAATTAGAGAATTATGAAAGTATGCTGCAATTTGAGTCCGGGAATTCAGCAATTCTCACGTGGCCTTACTCAGTTACTGTCAGAACGACACATTCTTGATGATGTCAGCGGTGAATATCTTTGCGCAACTCTCCTCACCGAGACGGATGGCTTATAAATGCACACCCGCTCATGCTTATAGCTCTCGTCCCATCTATCCGCTGCTTCCGAGGCCCCGCTTGGAACTTATCGCGCGCTCAGACCCTTAGACCGCTCTCAGTGCTTTCAGATTCCCAACTCCAAGCAGGGAATCTAGCTAGAAAGAGCTACTATTACCATACGCGGGATCTCTGGATTTCAAACCGGAATCAGAGCATGTCTACGACAACCACAGCTACTTCCGGTGTAGATACACCTGCGAAGATAAAGATAGATGTAACCTCGGTAGGTCACTTAGAATTTATCGGACTTATCATCTATTTTCGATACGGTTCTGCACATACACTCTATCCTTCTCCTCGGCAAGTAATTGAACATAACTCATTTGGGTGCATTTGTCTTCCAGGACTCAATCTGCCCGTTCTGCTTTATTGGGAAGCGCAAACTTGATCGGGCAATTGAAATGGCAAAAGAGAAAGGCTTGAACGCCGACTTTGAAGTCGAGTTTCTCCCTTTTCTCCTTGATCCTACTCTTAAGGAGGATGAGTAAGTGTTTCGCCATTTGTAATTGCGTCATTCTCTTGCGAAGTGATGATCTGACTGCAAAATTTGGAAAACCTTTTTTGATTGGTTTTGGCATTTATTTTGGATATTTTGTAGGCCTGTGAGCAAGAAACTTCGTTATGAACAGAAGTTCGGAAAGGAACGGTTCGACTCGATGGAAGCGGCCATGATAGAACGCGGAAAGCTGAATGGAATTAATTTGTCAGTTATGATTGTCTAGTACGAAGATGCAATCAGTCGATTTTAACTTATCCATCCTATTGTAGCTCGTACGGTGGCAACGTCCGACAAACGACCGAGTGAGTCAATTGGCTGCCAATTTGATATTTGTATTAGTCGAATTGACAATGCCGAGCAGCTCGCATAGGTTGCTTACACTCGCCTACGAAAAGAGAGGTCAAATCATGCAGGCAGATTTAGTAGTAAGCATACCAATGACTCGCAGACCAGAATTCACAGATTGACGGTTGTCTTCAGGAGAAAATGTTCAGTGGATACTTTGAGCAAGAGCAAGGTGATTACCCACAATCATATTTATCATTAGGATCTCACTAATCAAATATCATGAAATAGACATTGGCGATAGGGATTACTTGACCACTCAAGCTGTTGCTGCCGGACTCTTCTCAAGCGTTGAAGAGGCAAAGAATTGGCTTGCGACAGATGCGAAGAAAGAGGTCGGTCGTTTTGATTTGACTGTGAGCAGCTATCTTGCTGAATTGTTATTGCACAAATAGGAGGTCCAGCAAGGTATTTTGAAAGCGCAGGCGATGGGCATTTCTGGTGTTCCGTTCTTTGTCTTTAACAACGTGAGTCTCGTTTTATCCAATTACTAACGACTTATAGAGCACTCACTCGTTTACTTCGTATATCAGAAATTCGCCATCTCTGGTGCCGAAGATTCTGAGTTATTCGTGCAAGTCTTTGAGCGTATTTTGGGGGAAGCACGAGCTCCGAGCAAACCAGTGTCGACTGGTCAAACGTGCTGAACGACGAGTGAAGTTCTTTCTTGTGAGCAGGTAGCAGAATGATCAATGTTGGTAGTTGTGGACCAAGCAGTAATCTTCAGTTCTGTAAAGACATTGTATGCTGTTTACTCTCGCATTTGTAACGCTTTTCTGTCCGTGTGAAACGCGCCATAGCCGAGCGCAGAAATTTATTCCTACGATGTCAAAAACAATCGGTATTTATATCGGAAATTGACGAAGTTGGCGCAGAATAAGCACATGAATAAGGAAAATCCATGACCTGATTTAGAGGACGAACGTTCATGAAAGAAGAGAGTCGGACCAAAAATAAATTTAGTTCGAGCGGGTGGGAAATGGAGGTGAACTATGATGAATGAGGCGCTACCCCAGATTTCCAATCATGCCCTTATGAAGCTTCGTCCCGATGAGCCGAGTCAAAGGCGGGATTACGACTCCTTGGAAGCGGGGAGCAACGGTAAGGTGGCGACTGGGTAAGGCGGAGCTAATGGCATTGCCTTAGATATTTTACAAATGGACTTGGTTGGGATAAGATTCTAATAATGAAATGAAACTGCGGCTAGATTACTGGACGTGGGGATCAAGGACACTAAAGCGGGGGAAAGATAACGAGTTGGGGAGCCCTGGAAATTGGCCTCGTCACGCGATAAACATACGGCCTGCGCAGACAAATGGCTGTGATGAAGGGCACAGCAATACCTAGAACTGGCCACAAGAGAAGGGCACTGGGCAGACGACCAGAATAGGGAGAAGATGTCACGTGGCGAGCTCAGGTATTCAAGTGGAATTCAAAGTCCGACAGAATTTGGCAAGAGCGGCGACCAGGCGGCGAGAGAGAGAGATCTTAGTGTCCACCACCTTCCAACCAGAGTCCACGCCTGTTGCGTCCGCCATGGCCTTCTGAGTGTCTTTGACGCTCTTTTATATCCCTTTCTCACTATGCTTTAATCTCTCCGCTCAGCACGCATAACGAGCCCCTCTGTCAGTGCAGTGAACTCTTCTGAGCGAGGTCTCGGTTCGTGCTGCTGTTCCCTTGTCATCCTACTCGTTTGTCTTCTCCACTCTACCGTCCTTCTTCACCTTCATCCTTCCTATTCCCTGTTACTCGGAAATATTTTGGTGTGCCGCAATTTCGTAGTCTGCGCCGTTGGTCTGCCACAACGCATGCACCACGCTTGCCTCCCATCATTCCCAATAGCCTTTGACGACGGATACCTCTTCTCCTTCCCACCTGTCTACTTCGTGGCACAGTAATTAGCTGACCCGGTATGTCGACTGCATCGCAGAGTCTGCCGATGTCCGGTCTTTCGGCCTTATTCAGCTTGTCTGACGCGGCGGCGAGGGTACCTCCGATCCCGGTGTCGACTGCAGAGTCCGTGAAAGTTCCGAAGGACTCAAAGGACATGTCATCCGGAAAGAATGGCTCATATGCTTTGAAGCATCGTCGTCTGAGCTCGACCGGCCAGACTAGACGTCGTATGAACGACGCTCGCGATGCTGTGTCACGGCCAGCGTACGTTTCTCACAATTCGTAATCTATCCAAACCTTGTATTCATTTCTTCCCCTATTTCGCCGTTGCAACGACTGTATCTTTCAACTCCCAGCCCGGCAAACCTTTCTGCTGCGTCTGCCCTAGCTTCGCTTTCGTCTCTTTCGCTGACGCCATCCGGAATCACTTCGTCGATTTCGTCTGGTCATAACTTGCACAGCCACTCCCATCATGCACGCGGCCGTTCTAATGCTAGTATTGGTAAGCAAGGCGTAATTAAAATCTCGTATTATTTTTGACAAATATCTGTATGAAGCCCAGCCAATATTTGCTCCGAACCCAAATGGTGCATCTGGAATGGGAGCTCTTGCATCCTCCGTGCCCGAAACTTCTTATGCGCAAGATATGGCGTCTACTGTTGCCGACGATATTGAAGTAGACGTCGAGGATTTCGATGACGGTGCCTCTGTTGCCGAGAGTGTTGGAGGCCGGTCAATCGACAAGAGGATCAGTAAGAATGCGAGAGTCAAGAAACGTGGAACCATCTTTCAGTGCGAGAGCTGTTCAAAGGTATGCTGCAGTTGTCGCCGTGTGTATCCTGATCGTATGAAATCTAAATGCCGATATAAAGGTATATAGGCATCCCTCCTGTCTAGTTAAGCATCGATGGGAACATTCACCGCACTGGCGGGAAGCAAGCAAATTTATGTTATCTAAGCACCAGCAAGTTCAGCTGCTTGAGGTGGACCGTTTCTGTTATGCCTTCGAGTCTTGTTCTCATGCTCCCAATTCACAGGCGGCGACTATCCTCTCGCATCTGACCCCCGGATCGTCCCTGCCCGATGATCGTTCCCACTGGCCATCGTTTTTATCTAACGGGCTCCTGCCGCCTCCTTCCGTCGAGAACACTGCCGCTATGAATCCGCAGATGACGACCGTTAGCGCCCGTTCAGGTACCAAGTCAACGCCATCATCACTTAATGGCGCCCACCATCTTGTCAGTTCATCTGTGCCGGCTCGTGCTCAGGCACCACACTTGGATCGGAACCGCTCGACTTCCGTCACTTCAACGGCCTCTGGAGCCGCTGGTGGTCCACGTCTGCATGACTTCAGCGTTCCAAATGGAATTACACAGATTAGGCCTGGACTTCTTGCGCATGCAACCGCTCCAGGAGCACCATCCCAGGTCCTGTCAGGGTCGGTATTGCCGTACGCGGATGAGGAGTTAGATATCAAGGAGGAGAAAGATGCTTTGCCCTCGCTTGTTTCTATGGAGGTTGTTTCACCCTCCAAACCGCAACCGATGTCGGTCCCTGTTACAGTTAATACACGTAACAACTTTGAAGCCTATCGTGACGGTGGTTCAGCGTTCTCGGCTTCAGGATTCTCTGTTGAGAGTGGTTCCGTCGCGGCGTCCCTTGCACATTCTGGCGGATGGTCTTTGCCACATTCGGACTTGCGTTCGAGTAGTGTTACACGTTCGTTCTCTGGCTCACGCTCGGACGACGATGAAGATGGGCCTCATTCCACGCGCGATGGTTCAGAGGGTGATGTTGACGTCGATATCAGCGTGGCAGATACGCAGACAGACAGATTAGACGGTGATGCATCATTTGGTGAATATGCGAGTGCAGGGTTTGGGTATGCCAGCCGTACCTCGACAGGCACGGGTGCTCTCGTAAAGAAGGAAACAGATGACGGTTGGGAGGAGATGGATATGGAGGTACGTGTCTCTAATGTTCGTGGTTTGCAAGCTTTAATGTGTCCGCTTCCTGTAAATTAGTTATGAAGAATCACGAAGAATCAGGCAAATACGGAATTAATATTTATTCTCCTTTCGCTTTCTTTTTATCTTTTTGTGTTACATAGCGAGCATGGACTCGGAATCAAGCAAGTATGAAAGCGCAGTCCTTCTTTTCCGTCCGTATTCTTGTTTCATTAATCCCTTTTTCTTTCGTTTGTACAAACGCCTTTACGAGTCCGTTCGTGTGCGTGTCTATCTTTTTCTTTCCAGGTAAATGCAATATTTACTTTTTTATGGTTTTCCATTCCGTTCATCCCTTTTTGTCGTCGGTCTTGTAATACTTGTATCACTCTGTGGTTGTGCTATCGGTCATTGTTAACACAGGCCTTTCTTTTGTGTTCTTTTTATACACAAGCGCTGCATTTACTGCAACCTTCTTTTTTCCTCTTTCTTTTCGTCACCTCTGGCTTTGGCTTCCGTTTGAAGTCCTTGGGACTCGTCTGTCTTGGTTTATTTCGTTGCTGTCTGTCCGGTTTCGAATGACGTATGGACTGGTCACTGGTCATCATCGATCGCTTTTTCGGTTGTCATTCGTGTACTATACAATACCAAGTGTCAAGTTGTTTACCACCGGTTTTCTTGGTATGTGTTTTGATTGGGAAGCTAGGTTTGTTGTCTCTCTGGTGTTCAATTGAGTTGAATGAGGAGTGTGCAAGAAGCAATGTCAGGAGAATAAGGTGTTTGATGTACATGCTTGGTGTACCTGGTAGGAGGTGCTGAATCCACTCAGCACCCTACACGAGATCGATAGAAGTGCTGCAGAATTCCAAGTGCATTGTTGCTGACTGTTCTCAGGGGTGTGGATAGCAAAAAGCGGAAGAATAATGCACATGAATAAATGCTAGCACACTAACATTGAGCTAGCCGTATGACAACAATCATCGAACTTCAGTATGAGCTGACAAAGTAAGGACAACCTGCTTACTGACTTCAAACAAGCAATAATTTTATTCCTATATTGCTTCACATTGTCTCCTAGCAAAAATGAGGAGACATTCATAGTTACAAATAGCTCCTTCACGACCCTCCATAAGACCTACCTTCAAATGCTAGTTGTATGCCAGATAAGACGAACGAAGTTGTTTACATCAATCACAGACACCGTGAACGATAAGACTAGATTGAATTTATCTAGTATTACCAGCTTACAGGAATAAACTACCACAAGACTCAGTGTTGTGTACAATATTAGGGCCAAGTCACGTACCTAAAAACAAACTATGACATGATGAAGCCGAATCATTAGGCCTTTGCTTTTGTCTTTCGCATCTTCCTTTTACGACCAATGATGCTCCTAATCGCATTTTTTGGCCTGGCATCTTTTCCGGTTGTCTTCTCGCCCTCCGCATTCGATGTCCTTGTGGACCCTGAGCGCTTCTCCACCTTCTGCCTTTTAGATGGTCTCATGTCTGCAGAATTGTGATCCTCATCAAGTTCATTGTCGGGCGCAGAGCGCGTCCGCTTCGTTGCCGATTTCTCGCCCTTGATGAAACAGAAGTGTTAGAAGGCTAGACTAATGCAAGAGGAATAAAATACACACCTCCATCTTGTCCTTACGTCTATTCACTACCTGAGCATTTTCAATGGAGAATTCCACAATCAGCGTTTTCCTGCCTTTGCGACGTTCGCCAGACTTCAACTGTTCAAGTTCATTCTTCAGACGGCGTACACGCGCTTCAACGTTCTCGCGCTCATCGTCATCTTTCGGCATGGATCTCTCAAGAGTTTTTATGAGGTCCTCTACCTCGCTCTTCCACCAGCCTTCCATGAGTGGACCCACCAACGGGTTGTTGTTTGCCCATCTCAATACACGGAGTGCGTCACTATGTTCATTCGTTTCCAAAAAGCCATAGCCTCGACTCCGGCCTTTACCTGTCAAAGCGTCGACACGATCTGACTGCCTCACGACCTTGGCCTGCTTAATACCCGTGTCCCTTTCCCCCTTCTTTGCTTTACGTCTATTCACTTTATTTTCGGTACATATTTCACTGCCTTCGTTTTGGGCGTGAATATCCTCTTCCGCACGTAGCTCGTCAGCGGACAAAGGCTGGCGTTCTCCTTGCTTGACCTCTTCCTCAAAAGCTCGCATTGCGTGGATACCAAGGCGTTTGAGAGCACGCTCGGAGACAAACAATGGCAATTGGCGTATCGATAGACGTGTTTTCGACACATAAAGAGACGGATTTGATTTCAACAGTGCCCGACGGGCATTGTATGACGCAGTGCGCTTCTCAATCTCACCAGGGCCTAAAGTTGCCTCGGCGGGTGTGCCAGGGAATATGACACCCTCGCGGAGAAGGTATAGATTCCGCTTGTCCGCTTTCTCCCGTTGTCGTTCTCCCTCGTCCTTCAACCGCACTGCTGCATCACGAGTTACTGCTCTAGAGACATCTAGAGTACGTCCATGTAAAACAAGTGACTGCGCTAACGATGACGAAGGATCTGGTGTGAGTAGTGAGGGTAATGAAAACGGGTTCTTCTTCGGGGAGGCAGTACCAGTCTCGCGACTGAGCAGTTCGCTCTGGTGAATTGCCTTGTCCGCGTCCTCCTTGTTCCAGAAGCAGACGAAACCTGTCCCACGTGAGCGGCCTGTATCCGAGTCCATAGTAATACGCGCATAGCGTAAAGGCCCAAATGCACGAAACCTGAATGGATTATGAATAAAAGTCAATAAGGAGAGATTACGTGTGACTTACAAGATACGAAGCTCGTCCTCTGTGGCATCAAAAGGTACATTACGCACGAATATTGTTGTGCCGACGTCTGTTTGGGGAAGTATTGGTTTAATTGCCACTTCCGCTTCGGAACGTTCATCCTCATCGTCCTCATTGCCACCTTCATCACTATCAGCTGTTTCTCCACTGATCTCGTCCTCATCTGATAATTCCGAGTCCAGTCCTTCGTTATCGTCAGCAGTCTCTTTGGATTGATCGCTCAACACTTTTGCTTTTGCTTCTTCCCACTTGGATTTGCTCAGAGCCCAGTCAACAGCTAGTATTCGCGCTGACCCGTGTGTTTCAATGCCTTTGTCCACGTCATCTTCTCTTTGGTCATCGACATCTGATTTATCGCCACCTTCAGCAGTTTCCCTATCTCCTGCTTCAGATTTCTTCTTCCGGAGTTCTCTTCGTAACCTTTGGCGCTCCTTTTTGTTCATTGTTGGAGCAACAATTGAACCGGCTTCGACTGCACGACCATTGACACCAGCTATCGCGTGCTCTGCATCTTTTTTCGAGAAGAACCATACGAATGCAAAACCCTTCGCGCGCGTCTTGGTGCTTTCGCTCTTCGAATCCTCACAATTCGTCGTTTTGTCCATGGGTATGTCGATGGAATAGACAGGTCCGAATGGCAAAAAAAGTGAACGAAGATCGTTCTCGCTGATCTATCGTATTCATGAGCACGGAAATGGAAATGACCTGGTGTATGCTACACCCACATTCCAAGGTACATTGCGTACAATCAGTCTGCTTGCTCGACTTGGCGTGACGGACTTGTCGTTATTTTCCAGCTTGAGAGTTGTCTTCGTCAAGTTTTCGAGGCGCTTCTTCAAAGTCACGGAAAGAATAATGCCCTTAAAGACATGAGCATGCAGTTTCTCAACAGCATGTGAGGCGTTCGAAGGGGTCGAAAAGCGGGCATGAGCTATATAGAAGTTAGTGACATTAAATCGTATAAACAGATGCTCCTCACCTATGCCGGATTCTTCAACAAGTTCTACGTTCTCAGCACCCTCAAGCTTTCGCACTTTCTTCCAAAGCGTCTTCTTGTCGATTGAGGATGGCAGTCCCGAGATGACGATTGTCCGAATAGCATCCGGATCTTTCTCAAGTTTTGTACGAGGGGCATGGGCATGGGCAACTACTGGTGTATGGCGCTCGCTCTTGACCTTTTTGTCCGAGCCATCCTTGGACTTGGCAGGTGGTTAGACAGCTGAATATTATCAAAGGCCCATGATGCGTACCTTACGGTCTGCCATTTGCACTCGAAGCTTTCGGCCATTTAATTCCAGCCCGTCGTTTTCAATGGTCTCCAAAGTTGTTGCTGCATCTTCCTTGATTGCAAACGAGACATATCCGACACCCTTCGAGACGTTGTTCTCCAGTACCACGAACGCCGACCGCACGGGCGCATAGTCAGAGAACAGTGTTTTCAAGTCCGTCGATGTTATGGAGTACGGGAGGTTTGAGACGAAAAGCGTGGACCTGCAGCAGGGTTTACTTAGAAGCACTTCTCGTTGAGCAAATGAAACCATGATGCTCACCCAACCGGCCTGTCTTCATCTACATTTCTTTCCTTGCGCTTGCCTAAGGTGACAGAGTCTTCCGACATACCGTCATTAACGGGGTGTAACGTTTTCTTGTGAGATTGCGAACTACTTAAATTTATTTCTTCTGCTGTAAATTCATTAAAATTCGTGAGAATTTACAACCGAATTTTGCTTTTGTCACGTGTGGCCAGAAGTGATCCTTAGGCTTGATGCTGTCTTCAGACTCTCTCAGTGACTCAGTTCTATGTTGTGTATGCAAGCCGTACGGATACTACAAAAATCATGTCAGCTATCAAACCGATGCGATAATATGAACATTCGATTTGCTACTATGGCTCTGCGACTTCTGGTTATACATATAATTCACCTCCGACGATATTTTCTCCATCCATAAGGACAGTATTCGGCCAACCTTAAGCTTTGTTATGGCTGCACTAGCTTTGCTTATCTCGGGCCTTATTCCTGCATTTCTAGCTACCCGTGACGTAGCCAGACCTGTTTTTATCTCCGTTAACTCTTAGCTTCCTTCCACATGGTCAAGGTCTTGCCGATTCGAATTCCTGATAAGTCACCTTCACTGCAGGAGATAGTCACGGATCTTCTAGGAAACTGGTTTTACCATGTCACATGGGTCTCCGGGAATTTGGTACAAGAGCTCAACTCCATTTACCCGCCTTGACCAGTTTAGGTCTCGAGCTTTCGAACGTTTGTCCTAATAATAACGCCTCGAAGTCGTTTGCAGCCGAGACCGATTCCAACACTGCAAGACCATTTCGGCTCCGAGTTTCTGCCATTGACTGTCTAGCACGTTGTGAATATCGTTCCACATGGTTTGCAGTCGTCGAATGCTATTTTTCCTTGCACGTTTATGCAAAGATGTGGATTTCTTCTTCTGACATCACGAACGGTTGCTATTTACAGCTGTTCCGCGTCGTGGGGCATGTGGTGTAGGTGCTCATTCGCATCATTCTTCAATTCTGCCGTTCAACAAACACTTCGGTGCCGTCTGCGCATGCGCATGCTCTCTTGCTACGTAGGAGCTGGGTCTCGGAAACGAAATAAAAAGGGACCAAATAAGCGATAAACTCGTCTTGTCTACCTTTGCCTGGCTTTCTGCAGTGACTATGCTCTACAAGGTTGTACCAGTGCTGTTGCTATCTGTTTCTGCTGCTTTCGCAGCTCTTCCTTCTGGTACCGTGACGTGCGGAGATAATCGCTATAGCGTGTCTGCTATCACTGCCGCCATCAATGCGGGAGTTCGGGACATGGAATCTGGAAACTTCCCTGGTATGTTAGCAGAAGATCCTTTATGTTTGAATTCGTCTAACATCGTGATGATAGATGACTACCCGCATCAGTACTACGAGTATGCTACACCTTCTTTTGCATAAACTATGACTCGGAGCTCATGTAATCTAAGTGAGCCTTCAGAGCACATTACACTGTGGTGCAGCGGCAACGGGCCGTGGTACGAGGTAAGACGTTGATTACACCTCTTCTATATTCACGGTTACTTAATGAAAGCAGTTCCCTATCATGCCCGACGGCTCGATTTATACGTCCACTTCGAGCCATTACGTCTCACCTGGGACCGACCGTGTTGTGTTTACTGAGAGTGGGACCTATTGCGCGTACGCATGATCCAGAACATACTAAAACATTCCTTATCCTTATATACACCTATAAACTTTACAGAGTCGTGACACACACAGGTGCGGCGAGTTATGACGGCTTCGTGGCATGTGAGAATGATTGAGGTGATGGGGTTAAGACATGTGAAAGGATTGACGCATTTGTGACCGGTAACTACCTTGATGAGCCACGTTTGTGCTCTGATATAGTTCGTCAATAGAACTCATTTCAGAGCTTTTCTTTGTGCATTCCAGTCGCACTTCTCTCTGAGCTTCCAACATCATTAGACCTTGCAAATTCATCAAATGAAGCACGTTCATTGTTACTGAATGTGATATTATCGTCCCTGGATTCGGTTGGAAACATTGGGAAGGCATTACCATTTGCCAACGGTAGACTTCGATCTTGACTGTATGGTCCACAAGGTCTTATGATCTTCTAATTGTCGAACTGGCGCTACTATTTCCAAATGGATCACGTGTGAAGATAGAGCGCTTTATCTTGGACTTCTCGTTCCTAATTGGTGCATACATGATGCTTGGTATGACCATTGTGGTATTTGAGCGCAGGTGAGCGAAGTTCGCCTGCCCGACGACAGCGGACATTATATCAACGGCCGAAGTGCATGCATGTCATTGTCTAGGGAACTTTGAATGACGATTTGTATTGGTTAAATATGGAGAAGCTATATGTCCTAGAATCCAGGCTTGCATGTAGGCATTTCTAGCGTCACCCCCACCATGCTCTTTATACGATCCCAGGTAGAATTGGATGGGACGGTGAGCCATACATCTCTGTGTAATGATATTCATCAAGCTTATGTCTAATTTCAGCTAGGTTGCCTCTTTCTAGCTGGAATGTGCGTTTTTACTAAGTATTACACAATGCGCAATTGATCGATATTGTCCAGTTTTGACTCAGTGTAGGTCTACAGCGCTTAGTTGCATCACTGATTGCTCATGTTTTGCCCAGCTTGTGGGGTGTGGCTTGTGCTCAGTTATTCCTATATTATGATGTAAGGCGTCTACTCCAGCTATTGTAACGGATCAGGTTCTTCTGACAGGATATTTTTTAAGAAACATGCGAAATCCGATAAAGCATACTTAAAACTACACGTTCTCTTGATCTGGATCCTTTGCACGGTGTATCTTATCCTCCTTTTAAAGACATTGTATGTGTACTTCGTGAAGGAATTCGGAAACCTCCAAGGTGTAGGGACTCAACAACGGTAGACTACTCTAACTTCTTGTTAATCACCATGAACACTCACATCCTTATCATAGCGTTTTAAATGCTGATTCAATGCTTGCTGCAACGATTGATGCTATGGTTCAAGCTGTTTTTGCTAATCGAATATGGCACCGTGCGTACTCCACTGGGTCGATTCCTTGTTACCATCTTACCAACTTTTGCAGTGAGCAAAAAGAATCTCCTTTTAACGGGTGCCATCTGTGCTTCCATCTTGGCTCAGTTTGCACTAACTGCAACGTTCTTCGGAACAATCCACGACTTCACCACTATCACACAGTTTCTCACAGTTCGCGGGATAGAGAGTGCTACATGCGTTGTTGCTGTTTTCACGGATTCATTCATTGCTGTCACCATGATCTATTTGCTGCGTCATATGCAGTCGGGCTTCCGACGGACGGAGTCAGTCATAAATCGGTTGATCACGTACGTGGTCAGTTCGAGTCTGATAACTAGCCTATCGGCTCTTCTGGCCTTGATATTTCTGGAAGCATTGCCCCAGACATTGGCCTATCTATTCTTCAACCTCATTATTCCAAAACGTGAGTCTGTCATTTGATGGTGCTCGCTTTTCTGCTGACACCTTGCCATCAGTCTATCTGAATTGCTTGCTTGCATTGTGCGTCCTAAAATTTTCCCTATTATCTCGCATTGAATAAGGCTGTGTAGCTTGAACTCTCGAACGAAGTTGCGGAGGAGTCTCATAAATGAAACGGGGCTCACAAGCATTCGCTTGGACAACTTACCATATCGTTCAGACTGGCATGCCAAATCTAACAGAGTTCTTCGCACGGTATGTTTCGGTGCTAAGTATCATCTATGCGCTAATAACAATGTGCATATATTCTAGTCTATGAGTATAAGGCAAACCGAGTGCAAGATCGATAGCGATAGCAGAGTTGATGTTTCGCCTATCAAGGAAGACCACGAGTACGAGACATGTTCAAGTTAGCGCCGTCTGATGCATGCCGGCGGCAAAATGCAGGGTCGGAAAGGGCGGCAAAATCTAGATATGATGGCTGTGCAGTAAATCATTTTGTGTAACCATATCTTCCATTTCCTCATGTAGTCCCTATTCATCTTGTCGACTGCTTTGCAAACTTCTAAGGATGCGGGTCCAAAGGTACAGTACATGCGCAAGATCTCTAGATGATCGATAAGGGCCTCGTAGAGCAATTTGATCTGGCATTTGTCCGAATATTAGGATCATTCTTCGATGGCGGCTGTGGTCACTAGTTTGAGAAGCACAAAACGTCCATATTCACAATGAATATTAATTACAGAAGCTTCCAAGTAATTCTCTAGGTATTGAATACATCGATTTTGATTCTGGCCTCTAATTTAAACTGAAGAAGACTGCACTACTCACTCAATTGTACATTCTAGCAATGTTGTCAGAATCTTTCAACGTCCCAATGCATCTAGTGCCAGAAGATGGTTTCATTACAGCTTCCTGCGGCGAACGACGGTAATATGGAGGGAAGGAGTTGCCCAATATGGAATACATATAGAAGCCCAAATGGACCGGGCTCGACGCGACGAGCAATGTCTGTCATATAAGTTATAACTTATTCTTTAACCACCATTTCCTCTCACACACACAGGCAACGTGTCCTCCAGACACGGCGAGGTCGCCATCTATTTAGGAGGAGTCCTGAAAGGCGCGAAGATCCGAAGATAGTTGTCATATTTATAGAGCCCCGCCCTGATATCCCATAATGCGGCGTACAAGCAAGACTGCGAAGGTCAAATCAATGGATCATTTGGCGATGGCCAATGGTCTTCATCAACCAAAGAGTGCGTCTGGTTGACTTTTTTTTTACCGGTGACCCGGAAATTGACATTTTGATTCAAACCCCAAATCACCCACAGCGTCTAACTGGAGGCAGCAGCAAGTCCGTGACCAGCTTGGACATACCTCTTCTGACGATAGCAGACCCACGTCTCCGCCATTCAGACTTCCGGTAAGTGTAATCAGTCCAGGGATATGTATAAACTGTTCTGAAACCCCATGTTCACGCGTTCCTATTCCTTTGACGCCGATGCGGCTCACCTCCAAATCTACTTTTCGCAAATGCTTAACTTTTCCACGTAGATGACTACACCAGTACGCATCGCGCCCCTTCGGCTTCGCTTCGTTATCGTCGGTGGCTCTCTCGGAGGACTGTCCGTTGCCTTTGCACTAGCGCGCTCTGGCCATAACGTTCATGTCGTCGAACAACGTGAGCGCCTCGTTGAGGTACGCAATAAGAACCCACTTCCTTCTGTTTGCGATGTAACAATTCCATGCATGGCGTTTGGAACAGGACGCATGTGGAGTACGTATTCCCCCAAACCTCGCCCGTATCCTTGATCGCTGGGGCTTGGGAAAAGACTTCAAAGAGAAAGCAATCCTTTGCAAACAACTGACATTTAGAAAGCGTACGTAGAACACACTAAACATGCATCCTTACGTTAAGGACATTTTCTTCTAGTTCGTACTGGGGAAAAACTTGGTCATTTGGAATATAAGGAAGAAGTCATGAAAGTCCTGGAGGCCGATTTTTGGCTCATGCATGCGAGCATCATGGTTTATAACCTGCGCTAATTTGACAGCTGACTTGGTCTCCATCTGGCAGTATTCCGACCTCTTGGCACAGATGTACTCACTTGCGATCTCTGCAGGAGCCATCGTACAGTTTGGCACATCGGTTACGAAAGTCAACCCCTCCAAGCCGTCAGTAACACTTTCAACAGGCGAAAAACTATTCCCGGACCTCGTTATTGGAGCTGACGGGTATCATTCAATTTGCCAACAAGCAATAGAAGCTGCTATTATTGCTGAAGGCGATGATCCCACCACGAGGGTCGATAGTGGGACGGTGGTATACAGCATGAACGCGGACGTGTCAGACGTGACCCTGGACAGCGACCCAGAGCTCTACGACATCATACACAAGCCCGTCTGGACGGCTTACGCAGGCCCGAACGTATCCGTGTTAACTTCTCCTTCGGTGCGTTCTTCCGCTAAGCTTCATAACAGGCATTAACTTTTCATATATTCCAGAGAGATTACACGCAGTTTAGCGTCCAAATATTTAATCCCGATGTCCCAGGTACGATAGATACATGGGAAAAAATAGTTTCGATCGACAAAATTAACACCGAGGGTTTCCCTAGAGCGTTTGTCCTCTTTTCATTTTGTTATTGTTACCTTGCAGATTTGAATTCCTAACCCTTACAAATAGACTGCTAGAACTCACTCGACGCGCTGAGCATGCCGTTGAGACAAAGTTCGTAAAGAGGAAGATTAACGAATGGGTTCATCCCAAATCAAAGCTGGTGTTACTTGGCGAATCTGCCCATCCCCAAATTGTCAGAACTTCTCAGGTCCATCTGATTTCCACAGCTCACGTGACCTACTTTTAGCCATCATCGACACATTCTGGATCGTTGGCTGTCGAAGATGCCGCAGTCTTTGGCGCACTTTTCTCTCGCTTACGCTCAAGAGAACAAATTCGCAACTTCCTCGTGGCATACGAAGACCTGCGCAAGGAACGTTGTTGGGATATTCAACAGTCCGAGAGCGCGAACAGTGCCTCCGTGATGCTTCCAGATGGACCTGCACAAGAAGAGCGAGATCGCTCGATGCGCGAAGCTGCTAAACTTGGTTCAGGTGGCTGGGACGAGTCAACGTTCCGCCACTTGTGGGAGAACATCCGTATCCTCTTTGCATATGATCCGGAGGAAGATGCAGAAGAGTGGTGGCAGCGGTGGGGCCTCTTGCGTGAGCAGTCTAAGAGCGGCTTCGGACGCGGACGGCTGGTCATGGATACGTGTGGTGAGAGGCGGTATGAAAGTCACAACGATAATGATTCGGATTCTGATGGTTCGGTGACGAACCCATACTCAATGACACGGGCAGTGACGGTTGTCGTTGAATCGCTCGATTCAGATGACTGATATGGCCGTCTGCTCTATTCCTCTCATCTCCTGAGCAAGCTTGCGATCTGGAAATTCTCGACTTATCGGACGTATTTGTGAAACAAGCAATGGGGAAATCACAGCCACTCTTGTCTGGACCTCGGTCGACACACTCTTTCCGTTGCACATTGGGACGATTGTACTTCTACACCAACGTTTGTCTTCCATCCCTCGATTAAATTAGCCCGCCTATTCCGTTCATTTTCTTTCAATCTTCATCATGCTACTATCCGACTCAATCTCATGTGCTTACGTATACCATATCGATACATGCTTACCCAGACGACATTGTCCTTTCACTGACACTGCATTGTACTTTACTTCTGATCATCCCACCCTTCTTTCATTGGTCTCATAAAGCATTTCATACTCGGGCTTCTATTATGTTGACGACCATCTCCTTAGACTTCCTTGGCCAGTTCCCGCTGCCTGCAATGATTATCCGTATACTTTCCCGCTCTTCTCCCGTTAAACATTGACCTTTGGCCTTCTTTCCGCCGACGTCCAGAATCCGATGGCACCTGCTTCTCGCACACTAGAGCTTAGAACCACTTTATAGGGAATGAAGATCATACGATATTCATTTGACGATCTTTTCCCTTCTAACTTTCACATTCATTTGTTCTTCATATGTATTATAGATTGAACTTGGAACCACGTAGCATGGTAATAGACTACCTGTAACATGACATTTCGTATTTTAGATCAATTTATTGTAGTGCTTCGCATGGTGAAAGAGAAGGTACGGCTTGCTATTCATTGACTTGGAACGATTCTCGGTGCGCTAGCGATACTTGCGATCTGAAATGTATGAATTAATCTATATAAGGATATAGAGCGGCTCCATAATTTATGGCGGAAGTTAAATCATCGCACGCACGTCTCTAAAGGTGTTTGATTTCTATAAACGCTATGACTATCTCTGAGACCGAGGAATTCAATCCTGAGTGTGAGTATTGACATCTATGGGACGTAATCGCGAGTGCTACGCCTTTCTTGCTGCATGATCAATATCTGCTCACTAGTGCTCCGCACCGTAGCGTAATTTACGGATACGCCTGCAGCGTATACGCTTACGCACCGTATCGTAAGAGAAAATTTTAGCTGAAAATACGGGCGTATATTTACGCGCGTATGCGTATACCATAAGTAAAAAATTTCCGTATACGCCGTATACGAGTATACGGTATTACTAAGCATATTCTCTAATTAAATACTAAGTTTGAGTTTCTAAACCTCATTTACTTTACTTATTTATATACCAAATCATTTTAATACTATATAACAACCTTGTTTAACTTAAAA